GGTGAGAGACAAAAGCAGCATTTGCTATAGCTTGTTTACATTCTTCAAGTTTCTCAATGGCCTCATCCATCCAAGTTATTTTCCGATTATCTTTGTGCCTTTTAGGTAGTCGTGTAAAACATCTTGAGTACTAATGGTGTTTTTCAAAAAATGACGGTAGAAATTAACCATTTCGAAAAAGGTTCATAGTTGATGAACAATGTCAGGCAATGTAATATTAGGAATAGCTTTAACCTTGTCGGGAAGAGCTTTTGATCCCTCAGGTGTAATTAGAAAGCCTAAAAATTCTAATTCATTAACTCCAAAAACAGATTTAGAAATATTAAGTCTTGATCCATATTTTTGTAATCTATCAAAAACTAATTTTAAATGATTTTCGTGTCATTCTTCATTATTTGATGCAATCAAAACATCATCCAAATATGGAGAAATAAAATTTAGTCCTCTAAATATTTTATTAATAAATTTCTTAAAGGTAGAAGATGCATTACGCAACCCGAAACTCATGATGTTAAATTCGTACAGCCCAAAAGGGGTTATTGATGGCTGTCTTTGGCTTAACATTTTCATTAATAGGAATCTGAAAATATGCTTTATGCAAATCAATTTTAGAAAATATTTGAGTATTTTTTAAGATGTGTTTCTAATCTTCTAATCGGGGAATAGGATAACAATATGGTATTGTATGTGCATTCAAACGTCGATAATCCCCACATGGTCGAAAGGAACCATCTTTCTTTGGAACCATATGAAGAGGACTGGCCCATTGTGACTTAGAGGGACAAATAATATCATTTTCTAACATATATTGAAATTCCTGTTTTGCTATTTATAATCGTTTGGGATCCAATTGTCTAGCTGTGTTATAAACAGGTTGTTCTCTAGTTGTAATATAATGATCAACACCATGCTTAAATATTGATACTGATAAACTCAGTTTTGCTAAATTTGGATATTTTTGTAACAAATTAGCATATTTAGAATTTTTATCTAGAGTACTAATAGCATGATCAGAAAACACTGTTTGTTACTTCAAGCAGATAGGTTAGTAATTCTAATACTTAATTGCTTATTATGAATGACAACTAAAAGTTTAGAAAATCACCTCCTGTAATAGCTTTGTCAACTTTAGCTAATATAAACAGAAATTGGAAGTCTCTTCTAAGTCTTAAATTTAACATTAAAATTTTAATTTCATTAATAGGAATTTCTGTTCCATTTGCTGCATATAAAACCATCTACTTTTCTATTATGATTAGTCGCAGGAATGAGACTTAACATCAGCACCTGAATCTATTAAGGATCGCAGTCCTGTGTTTTTGTCCTTCACAAATAAACGAAACTTTTGGCTATCATTGATACCAGCAACAGTAGTAGCCAATAATCCTCCTGTTGCGTTATTGTATTTTCCAACTTCTCTCACCAAGCACATGGTGAATAACATTTCTCAGGTTGACAACAATCACCAAATTTAAAATAAACAATATTTACCTTTCGTATTAATTCTCCTTTTCGAACAGCTACTACTTCGAGCTGTATTCCGGTGATGATATCTATAGCTTGGTCTAGAACGATAATTTGCATTAAGTCAATATTTTGTTATAAGGCAGCTATTCTTGCAAATAAAGCATCATTAACGTTTGGTGAAACGGCATAAATTTCTTTCCCAGATTTCATCACAGAATTTCGTCAGCCATTGTGGCCAATTTCTCTAAATTTTCTTTACTGACGAGAATATTCTTCATAAAATTGGGCAATTTTTCCAACCATAAATATTTTAGCACTTTTTCCGGAAAATCGTCTACAGCTAGACTTTTCATTTGCTGCAAAAGTTGACTTTGTTTATAATGTCCGAGGTCTAATCCAGTAAACAGATGCTGAATTCTCTTATATTCACTTTCTTTAAAAACATTTAAAAGTCTTTCTTTCGCCATAGAATATTTATTAGGCTTAGCGTCTTTAATGATGTCCCATATATTTTCAAGATACTTTGGTTCAAGCTGGGATAGCAAATAGTTGAATCTAGTTTCTTCGGTTGTGATTTATTTGAAATTGTGCTTCCACTTGGAAAAACCAAATGTCGGGGTTTTCATGCCAAAATGGTGGAATTTTAATGCTGACTTTATTATCTTCAGCATCCATTAACATAGTTGCTTCTGTTGCGTTTTCTGTAGTCGTGTTAAGAGGTCATATGTAAGAGTCACATATGGCTACAGTCTCTGCTAGACAAGACTTTTCTGAGAAACAAGATTCTGGTAGCACTGGCTTAAATGGGAGGATTCCTAGCAAAAAGAGCCCTGCTGGAAGCAAAGTCCTGCCTAGCTATGGAAACAATGTTGTGGCTGTGCAGGATTTTTTTCAAACCTCGCCGAAAATGTCTCAGGTTCCGAGAGAGACAACCAATCAGACGAAAGTTCTGCTTCTGAAGGATCACATGATCCCAATTTGAGCAGTAATCGATTACTGTTTGGTGTTCAAGTCTTTGTAGTAAGTAGTAAGTGAGAATGGTAACCTAGCTACGTGTGTTTCCTGGAATTGTGCGGGTTCTGAGAATTGTCCCTTTCGACATCAAGCCCCGCGTATTCGAAACATAATATGATTGGGACTTTAAATAAACAAGTCGAACATTGCTGGGTCACCAAACATAAGTACAACTGTTATGAACCTTGAGTTGATACAAAGTAATAACATGTAGATAAAATCTTATTATAAAATAAAAAGATTACCATATCAACACCTAATGTAATTTTATTTACCAATTCAGTAGTCAAAAAGTCATCTTCTGTTTTTAAAAACAAATCGAATTCTAAAGATAAAAATTGTTGAAAAAATGATAATACAATAATATGCAAATTAAACATTTATAATTATTAAAATATTCATGGGTAACTTTCAAAACTAATTATTTACATTTTATGCCGTTACACCAGATTTTCTAAAATAATAAAACTTTATGATAATATTAATAACATATTTTTAGACTTTGAAAACTTACGAATTACTAGTGTAAAAATTCTTCAGCATATTAAATATAACAACAATTATTTAATTTTTTTAATTAACCAGTTCTTCAATGAAAATTTGAAATCATTTCAAATACCGTATTTGACGGCATATAAGACTCACTTTTTTCCCTAAATTTGGTCTCAAAAAAGTTACCTGCGTCTTATACGTGAAGGAATTTGCATTTAATAATTGTATTTGGCTTTTACGAAACGTGAGAACTAAAAGAAACCACGCTATTGAAATTTTTTTCCTTGTGTGTGGCCGTCTAAATAAGGATGCGTCTTATATGCCAGTGCGTCGTATATGCCGTCAAATACGGTATTAGAAATTCTGAAATTAAATGTCTCTGTCAGCTTTTGTCATGTGGGAGTCAAACTTTTTGTGTTTTATTTTTTATAACGAGTACAAAATTTTCTTAAACATTAAGTATAGGGACTGGAGCCATGTGCAAAAAGTTAGATTTCATATTTTTTGCAAAATTGATTGCTTTAAAATTAAAAATGTCAAAATATGAAAATTTGAGTTTATTTTATTTTTGTTACTGAAAGTATATGTCTACAACCAAGTGGTAGTGAGAATAAAGGCCATGTAAAGACTTTTGAGAACACTGTGTATATTTACGAAGTTAAATGACATTTATCTTAAAATATCCATTTAAACATTTTAATATTGAAATAAGCATGCTTTTTCATATATCTTACATGACAGTTAATTTTACTAAATTTGAAATCAGATTTTGTTATACCTGAAAGCTGCAAAATTTGCCATCTGTTATTTCCTGCTAAGATGACAGATTTGTTTTAAAACAATGCTTAGAAAGTGCAGTATTAGTGATTAAGAGCAAAAATGCTCTATTTCTTTTTTCATTATTATAGGGGCTGGAGGAATGTGTAAGAAGAGTTAGTTTTCATATTTTATACAAAATGAATATTTTAAAATTTGAAAATACAAAAACATGAATTTTTACATCATTCATAATAGTTTTGTAATTGGAAGTATATGTCTACAACCAATGGTTGTGAAAATAAAGGCTGAGTAAGGACTTTTGTGGACATGATGTATACTAGGTAACAAAAAATTTCATGTCTGAAGAAAAATGGTCATTCTGCTCAGTGTTAAATATTTGATATTTAATGTGCAAAAATAAAGATACTTCAAAAAGCTAAAAATAAAGAAATAGCTCTTAAATTTTATGCAAGTAATATTTGCTTCCTAAAAATGAAAGCAAAAGTGATACTTCATGTATGCATATTCCTACATATTAATTAATCTCTCTCTCTTTGCTGTCATTTAAAAAAATGAGACTTCATATTATTAAATTCACATAGATTATTTAAATTTCATTTACTTTGCTCTTAAGGTAAATGTAGTTGAGAATCATTACAATCATATTGAACTTTGAAAAGACAAAATTGAAGACATTAGAAGAAATAGTTGCTTTTTCATGCAATATGGTTAATATTATCTACTGAAAATTTACACAAAAAATTATCTCTGCTGATCTTTTACTCTTCATATATTCTGATTGTAGAAGATTCTTGCTTTGGTTTTCAAATTTGCTTAGAAGTATATTTCTCACATATTTATATCGTTTCAGAATATAAAATTGTCTCAAGTCAGTTCTATAATTTATGTAGAAAATATGTGCGAGTCCATTAAATAATGTATGCACAAATAATGAAACTATCCATGTTAATTCCCAATTTGTGTTTTACTCCACTGGATGCAAATTGTTATGTCTGCAGTGACTGAATGCAGTTTCCTGTATGTTAATTTTCAATAATATTCTAGTTATTGATCCCAAATTACACCAGATAAATGAATTTCTTGTGAAAATAAAAGTGTCTATTACAAAAAAATTATTATAGGTATATTGTATCTTAATTGCAGATTATGAAGCAGTTAAATGCATTAGTTTTATACATTTTCCATTCTTTTTTATATAGAATACTTTTAATGCAATTTTGGCTCTCAGTAAAGAATGTAATTTATAGGCTTTGCACCTATACCTATTGGTAATCAATCTTCTGTCCTAACATTGGCTCCAAAGAAACCAGCAAGTCCTTGCACCCAGGAGCAAAATATTGACCCTGCTAAATCTGCCATCAAGAAAGTTGAAGAAAAGAGCACTCCATCTGTTCCTCAAAGAAAACCAAAAGGTAATCAAAACTTCGTTCATTTTATCCCCATGTGTTATACAGTTATATATTACTATTAAAAGTATTACTTTTGAAATTTTGTACTGTCTTTAATATATATTATATATTAATAGGATATATATTAATATATATTAATAGGACAGAGCAGTGGAGCTACTATAAAGGATTTATTCCAAAGGATTTTTTTCGGAAATACTAATATACCTTTGTGAAAAGTTTTTTTCGCATTAAACAAGAGCTTCAATGGTCTGTTTCGGCGAAACGCGTAATGGTGTTTAGCCTATTTCGTAGAACAGTTTTTTTCCCTTGAAAAGCCAACTGAGAGTACGAGTGGGCTAATATACCATTTTTCCGCTATTTAATTATTGTTTTTGTAGCTAGTTTTTGATGCTTTTTGTGTCTTTATTATATTTTTTTAATTTTGATTTTAATTTTTATGTATTGGCATATAATATATTGGCAATTTTAATTTTAATTTTTTATGTATAAGGCATTTTATATATTGACATTTATAACCCCATGTTTTTTTGTAACTTCCTGTACTTTATACTTTGTATATACTTTTTTCCGTCCATCTTTTTTTCATGTGAGTTAACTTTTCACATTACACGACGGTCAGATTAATTATTTTTTTCGTGCAATAGCAAGTCTTCCAGCACTAAAATTTGGCAGTTTTATCGCGCTTATACAGTTTTTCTAGTTTTACCAGGCAAATTTCATATTGTTTATGTAGTACTATGTACAACATTTCATGGAGCTACAGCTCCTGGTAACTTTTTAGCAAGGTTGCTGCAATGTTCCTACCTACTACTATTCTTTCAAATCTTTTTGCAGCATTATGCGCAAAAGTTTCTGAGACCAGATAGGTCTTTCGTCTAATTACTAGTTCGCTTTACATTTTCTTTTTCAATTAATAGGATATAAATGTTATAGAGTAACAAATTTATTACTATCAATTACAATCAGTATACCCTAATAGTTATTATAATTCAACTTCCCATAAGCGAACACTTGCTTGACCAGGCTTTTGTCCATTATCAGGGTGTATCCATTAAATGAAAGTGCACTGGTCTCCTACTTCAAGCATTTAGGGGGTTTACAGATTGTCTGTAAATGGGGAATGTATTACTAGAGGCTTGAGTATATGTAAAGCAGGGACTTTTAATTCCTTTTTATCAGAATTCATTTTAATTCCTTTAATATCAGAATTATCATAAAAAAACAATCAGATTTAGCCTGGTTTTAAGACTGATATTTATCTTAGCATAGAATTTTCTAGCAACTCCCTGACATCTTCCAAAATTTAATATGACTTTGCATGAGAGATTTAAAATCTACATTGAGATAAACATTCAGCATTTTTACAAAACCTTAAGAAATGCAAAGCAACTAATTTTTTTTATTCGTTTTAGTTCAAAGAACAAATACAGTAGTAGACAAACAACTTGATTTTCTATTAGAACGTCAGAAACTGTTTAGACAAGCAGCTCTTGAAGCTAAGAAAAATGGAGACATTCAACAAGCTAAAGAATATTTGCGTATGAGCAAGGTGAGATTTTTCTGTTAACAGATTTAAATTTTCCGTAATATTTTAATCCTTCATTGCAAGACAAGTCTTCTAAATTATTTTCAGCCATATGAAATCTTCTATGGCCTTTCTTTCATCAAGTGTTAGTTTTCTTCATTAAACTAAAAAAAAAAAAAAAAAAAAAAAAAAAAAAAAAATTTACGTACTGTCAAAATAGAAAGCTGCTGTCATTCTGCTAATGTAATATCTTGTTACTTTACACATTAGCTGTAACAGATGTAAACACCATACTCTTTTATTTTCTAAATTATGAAGTCCATTCCCGTATCTGTGTGTGTAACTCTTGCATAACTTAAGAACATTTTATGCATCTTAATATGTTAGTACTTTTTCAATAGCAGCAAATGTTTTTTATCTATGATTTCCTGAATACAGTCTTGCTTATCTCATATACTGCAAAAATAAAGCATCATTTGGCAACATGAACTGCAAGTTGTGAATGAAGTCTTTTTTTTTCTTCTTTTTTTCAATTGCTCCTGACTCATCTACACCATGACTCAGGGGCAGTGCGCTTTATCATTCTATGCAGATGTATAGGTTTATCATCTGTTACTGTTCATGCATATGTGAGGGGGGCAAAAACTTGTGCTAATGTAGAAACTGGGAGAGACAATGCAGAATGTAGCTGATGGCTTGGTTAATAGTAGGGAACTGTAAAAGGAAACAAATCGAAATAGAAGACGGTGTGCATCACAAGATACAGAGCATGCATTATGGAAGTAATTTAAAAAATGAATAAAGCCTTGTACATTTAGTTTACACAGTTCAGGGACAAAAGTGTGTCTATGCTATCTCCCAATAAGTACTTGAACACCCTTGCAAATGCCTACATCTGCAGTGCTGATATACATCATGCACTCCACCATTGAATATCATGTAGGAAACAACATTGGCACTAGTTGCATGCAAGATGCCACAGCATGCAGATTTATCGGATTTCGAGACAGGTGTAATAGTGAGGTACCACAAAAATGGCCAGTCCTTAAGAGGCATAACTAGCGAGCTGAATTACCTAAAATCAATAGTGATAAATGTGATTCAATAGTGGAAGGCAAGTGGTGATTGTCGGAATGCACCCCGATTTGGCAGACCCACAAAACTTAGAGCTAAAGCCTAAGGTAGGCTTTCCAAAGAAATTCGGAAAAATCTCATCCAACCGATGGACTACATACTCCAGGAGTTTCAATAGGTATCCAGGAATATTGTTTCAGTGAGTACCATCCATAAGGAAGCACATCCGCTTGGTTTTTCATGGACATGCAGCCACTACCCATAAGCCTTTGATCACAAAGTCCAACCACGTTGCTTTTTAATGTGGCGCAAAGCATGTGGCAGTGGCCCATAGAGCAGTGAAAATGAGCTCTGTGGAGAAAGAAATCAAGGTTCACCCTCTGCTATTCAGATGGCAGGGTCTGGGTCTCGTGTCTGCTTAGAGATCACCTCCTGCCAAAATACATTGTGTCCACAGTCAAGTTCAGCTAAGGTGGAATAATGGTCTGGGGGTCTTTGGTATGGACAGGGACCCTTCATCGAAATTCATGGTAAGCTCAATGCCGACACCTACTGTAGTACTATTTTTGATGAGAGTGTGCTTCCTACATTGAGGCATTTTTACAGGTTGGACCCATCTTACTTTTAGAAAGTCAACACCAGCTATCATGTTGCAAGGTCCACCATGGATTGGCATGGTGACAATGGGTTTTACCATTTGAACTGGCCTGCTCACAGCCCAGACCTAAACCCTATCGAGAACCTCTGAGAGAAGTTTATTCACCAAATCAAGAGATGCAACAACCATCTAACATTGGTGAAATAACTTACATGTGTTCTCCAAGCCAAGTGGAAGAAAATACCAATTGCTGTCATACAAGGACTTATGGAAAGCATGCCATGGAGAATTGAGGCTGTAATTGCAGCTTGTGAAGGTTCTGCCAACTACTGAATATGAATAAATTTTCTTTTTCTTTTCTATCACAGGTGTCACAAGTACTTATTGGTAGATAGTGTATTTCATGGCCTGTTTTACAACAAACGGCATTGCATTTTCATGACGGCTTCAATGAAAAGGACTCCAGATTTCACGGCAAGTGTTGTTTGTTGGCTCAATGGTTGGAAGAAACGCTTCGGAATCTGTTTGTTGTGGTGAAAAACTATCACAGAATTTTGAAGAAAGGATTCAAAAATCATTTGGGGAATTAACTGAAAACCTAGTTAATGACCAGATAATTAACTGTGATGAGTCAGACCTTAATTTCAGTATATTACATAGTAAAAGTCTTGCAGCCAGAACTGAAGTGGCAGTCCATGGCTATATGCAAAGGCTGACAGTTTTAACATGCAGTAATGCTACAGCAGGCCTCAAAATTTACCTTTTAGTGATTGGAAGGTCCCAAAACATTAGAGGCTGTAACCCATTAACCCTTTGGCCTATAACCATGAGTCTAACTCATGGTAAAGAATTTGTGCCATAAACAAAAGCCATAAGTCTGACTAGTGGTAAAGAATATGTGTTATAAACAAAAGCCACAAGTCCGACTCGTGGTAAGGAATTTGTCATAAAATGCCACAAGTTATTATTAGAACAAGCGGTTGGAGTTATTCTGCATCGAATATTTTTCCATTAATTGTAACATCAGTATCTTGCTTTTTCAGTTGTTTCTGACGAAACTGGATGATCTGTTACTTTAGTTCCCCGTAAAGCTTCTTTTTATGTTCACACGTTTCAAATATAATTTCATATAAAGAATTAAAAATCTCTCATACCACCACCCATCATACCTGTCATGCAATTATTTTTGTCAACTGATCAATGGATTATGATTACACCCTAGACGTCTTAAAATTACTATTTGTACCTAAACATTGTTTATTATTTCACAATTCTTTTCATTACACTGAAATATATATGTCATGAAAAGTACACATTTTGCGTACATGGCTGAACTGTTGAATGACACACCGCGCGACTGACTTTCTTGTTTACTATAGCTCGTGCAATTGGCAGATATTGTGAAGGCCAAGGGGTTACAAACTGACGTTGCATTTTCGCAACATTAGTCAAAAAAAATTTCAGCGTCTTCTGTAAAGTGTTTCTTTCTTTAACTTTTTTGTATATTGTGGATAAAACTTCATTGTTTCTGGGGGAAAAAAAAAAAATGCTGTTTCTCTAACATTAAAAATTTTTACAAAAATAAACGATCATTTTGGTACATATTTTGCAAAGTTTTTTTTTTTTTTTTTATTTTATTAGATCTTATAGAAAGCACAACCAATCAAACAGCTTAATGAAGATGTGCCAGTCTTCTAGAATCAGTAGACTGCAAAATGACATCAAAAGTTAATGTTATAATTTTATTCTTGTTAGTGTAAATACGCATTTTTTAAAATGTTGCAAAAACGCAATGTCAGTGCAAAGCAGTTTTTTTGTGAGTATATAAAGATTTTCATAGACAGTGATATTTTCTTTTACAGATTCCAAAAAACATCTGTTCCAAAATAACGAATACCAGTGACAACCATTTTTAACGTTGAATAAAGCATTATAATCTATGAAGAATTGGGTAGCACTGAAAAACTGCCTAGAGTTCATTTCTTTAAATATTTTAAATGCCAGTTTCATGCCACATGAGCTTTTTTTAAACCTATCTTTCTATAGATGAGCAAATGATACCTTAGAGCAAGTGATTTTGTTAGACATTCATGCAAAATGTTTCTCAAAGGATAACCTCATTGTTTTGAGTACAAAGTTACTATTTTGAAGGCGTCAGCTAAGTTGTTCATGCAAGGTATAACTAAATGAAGGTATACTTTGGTTTGACTTATTAATTAATTTATTTTGAACATTAGTAATGCAAATCACCTAGCGTGCTTCAAATCCTTGCAATTAATTTATGTAATGTAGAAAATATGATTGTAGTTGATGAGCTCAGGCCATCCTGACTATGGGGTACGAGTCATTAGCCAGATGTACATAATTTCCATTTGACCATGAGGTTACATAATTTGTTATAGATTGGTTGATTTGACTGCGATGTGAGCACTGTATGTATTCATCACTTTTGTGGATATTATTTTTGTTTAAAAAAAGAAATGAAATATTTATATAATTGACTGTTGGTTTGTATTTCAGCAGGTTTGGTTCATATAACTCTAGATCTTTACTATTCCTATTATTACTGTTTAGATTATTACTATTTATTACTGTTTAGATTACATGTTGTAAGTTGTAGCCAATATTTGCAATTTAATGTTTTAAATTATTAGTAAATGTAGTTTCAGGTTTTTAATGTAGTCATTTATTTCATATTGCAAGGGTATTTTCTGTCAGTTTGTAGATGTTAAACTAGAATCTAAAAGATCAATGAACAAATTTTTATCTCTTTATTATTTTATTTTTCTACTGAAATAAAGCTGAAATATTGTTTAGCTTTGAAATATTTACATTACTGAAAGAGTTTGCATAATTTTTATGTTTTGTAATTTGTAATAAATTTGTTAATTTTTGTAAACTAGAACCGTGATTTATTATTAACCATGAGCCTTTTAACTGTTTATAGAGATTTACTGTAAATTTGATGTATTAATAATATATTCTGTATAGTAGTTTATTCCAAGATTTATGACATCTTTCAACAAATGCTATATCAACTATGATTATAATTCAGCATAATTGAAAAATTATAGGCAATAAAATGTTACCAATATTCTATGTTTCCAACGTATCAAAAAGTAAAGTAGTTTGGCGAGCAAAGTGAAGAACACAGAGAGCTTTAACTATTAGTATCAAACAGAAGAAAGAAATTGGTAAAAGAAAACAAAGCAATAACAAAGGTATACTACACTACATTAAATAAAATAATCCAAAATATTCTGAACACAACAGTATACTCTCTTCATCCCTCATCAGTATACTCATCAAATTTAAGCATAATCGTGTTTTCAAGAAATAAAAATTATTCCATCCTCAACTCGTATGGCTAAAAAAAAATGAGTTAAAGAATGTCTTACAAGAGATAACTGTTAACCCCCCATATCTTATATATATTTATACAGCAAGAGTGTAAGCTAAGAAGAATGCATGTCTGAGAAATGATCTGTAATCTGGAAGCAAGTACAAGATATTACTAATTTGGCTGCACCAGGCATTTGTTTGTGCTCATATTTTACACTTGCAGTTAGAAGACTAACAACTTGGTGTGAGGTGCTGTTTTTTAAAATATTATAACCTGTTCTGTTATAGCATCTATTCTGAGATTTAAATGCAGGGTTTTCTTTCTTTTTCAGTCTCCCCCTCTTCATTACCTGCTGATGCTAGATCAGTGGATATAGGAGTATAACTGCAGTTCTGTTCCTGTGTTAGCCTTCGTTTAGACATATACATCAAAAATTGTCATTACATCTTTTAAGACTTAAATTAGAAGTCCTAGATACTATTTTCTGATTTGTTGCAGGAAATGCAATAATGTTTATACTTTAGATACACTGAAGTCAATCCATGTTTCCAATGTATCAAAAAGTAAAGTAGTTTGGCAAAGTGAAGAACACAGAGAGCTTTAACTATTAGCATCAAACAAAATTAAGAAGTTGGTAAAAGGAATTTAAAATTGCATACAGTAAGCAGAAGATAGGTACCCTTTTCTAAAGCCAAGATTTTATTAAATTACTGTTATGAATTTGCCATAAAAATGCTGACATGTGTTTAAGGGATCTCATACTTTTTAAGTTTTTTACCAAGTTAATAAGAATAAAAAATAGATATATGGTGGAAATAAAAATATACGTATCATCATAAAATCATTTTCTGATTAAAAATCAGTGCCTCCTATATGGGCTATTTATAATCAAGGACTAAAACATTTTTAATTTAAATAATTCAATTATATATGCAAATGAAACTTTTAAATAAAATATAAATGTACTATATATTGTAGAAAATAGTCGGTAGTGATAAATAATTGCTAGATCTGATGCAGTTTCTTTAATTTTGGCAAAAACTTCACCACCACAACCTGTTATTAAACTTGCACCATCAGCACACACCTCTATGAATTTTTCCCAGTTTATTTCATGGCCATTGATAAACTCATTACTTTTCTTAAAAACCTCATGCCTATGTGGTATGATTTGAAAGAGGCTTACGGGATAAGAATTTTTCACCAATAACTTGTGCTCTTTCAAATCAAATACAAGTTATCAGCTGAGCAAAGTTAATTAATTATACTTATCCCTCAATATACATGGAAGATAGGTTCCGCACAAAACCATGTAAATCGAAATCATGGATTTTGCTATGTAAAACCGTGTAAAATGAAAAACACACTAAATGTGCATAATTTAGTTATTTATTTACATAAAACAAAAGTAAGACATCTTAAAATAAATATAGTTATACTTTGTTCATAAAATAAATATATGTAGGTAATAGAAGTACATATTTAATTTATTTTACATTAGGAAAATATAAGATCATTCAAAAAATAATTATAAATTTAGTCACTTTCACATCACTTTCATGAACTATTAGTCTTTTCTTCTTGATTGGTATGATGTCACTTTCATCACTTGAGCGTTCTTGGTAAAATTCTTCTTCAATGGTTGACAAATTAGGGAAGATCTCAGATTGACAAGACTTTGTAGTGAAATCCGTAACTAACAATTGCCTAGGTTTTTTTTTTTTTTTTTTTTTCTAAATCTTTGTAAACCTACTCATATTGATTTAAGCACTTATTAAGCTTTCGTTGGAATCAGAGGGCTCATTCAATATTCGTGTCATATTGTAAAAAATGATTACATAATTTCCTTCCCAATCCAAGTCCTACGCTGATGACTCTTGTTGTGAATGGAACTGGTTCAGATTGTTCTTCAATATCTGTTCAAGTTAAATCCTTAAAACCTTCCCCTTTTATAGTTTGGTACAATTTATTGATATGGGAATATTCATGCTCTAGTGATAATGTATCATTCTTATCTTTAGCAACATCCGGCCATATTGCTTTCCAGCATACATTGAGTGTTAATTGTTTAATCTGAGTATATGACAGTCCAACATGCTTAATGTAATCTAAGATTGTAAATTTCTTCCAAGCATCTATAAGAGTAAGAGATTCATGATTCTCCATTTGTTCTAAAATATACCTGAAGGTTTGTTTGATATACAATGCCTTAAAAGCCGAAATTATTCCTTGATCCAATGGCTGTAATAAGGAAGTTGTATTCTTTGCTAAAAAGACAACTTCTACATTTTCATGTTGCAAATCTTGAGGATGACCAGGTGCATTATCAATTAATAGAATAGCCCTTAAAAGGCAATCCCTTAAATAATTTCTGACATCTGGGACAAACATGTTATGAAACCATTCATTAAAAGCTATGTCAGTGACCCATGCTTTCTTATTAGCCTTCCAATGAATGGGAAGGTTATGTGTGTTTATTCCTTTAAATGAGAATGGTGTTTTTGATTTGTCAATAATTAATAGTTATGTAATTGCGTAAAGCGCTGCAACAGAAAAGAATTGTTATATGACTTTTCGCTACCTTATGACCACTAACTGATTTGCAAGCTTTAGCTAAATAGGTTCTTTCAGGCATTTTTTCCCAGAACAACCCGAACTTAGCATTAAAGATCTGATAAGAAATGTAAGAGTTGGCGGCAATGATTTCAGTAAATTTTGCTGGATATTGTTGTGCTGCATCCAAATCAGCAGATGCACTTTCTCCTTTCAGTCATGGATTATATAAAGAATATCTGTATTTAAATATCTCAACCATGACTTGCCGAAAACGATGCCTTTTCTTCATCTGGTGAAGTCGACAGTGACTGATTCTTAAGTGCTTTATAAAATATTTAAAGCCTTATTTGTAATAGCATTCGTATCAACTGGAATCTGTTTTTGATTTTGGTCTTCTTTTCATATCACTAATGTCTTATCCATATTTTCCACTGTATCACTTCTTACAAATGAAATTGTGCTCTTACTGCTGCACTTTTCTGCTACACTTTTTCTAATAGAGTTTTCATTTTTTCTATTTTCCTTATTGTGGCTTCATTCACAGAGTAAAATTTAGTGACATCTGTTACTCTTTCTTTATTACGTAGACGATCTAATATTTTATTTTTTCCTCCTTCTAAAGAAATAACTTTTCTTTTTCTTTTTTCCAAATCTTTTGGCATTATAAAACATTTAAAAATTTACGTAAATTATAAAAATGTAAATGTTGTAAACTTTTGGCATTATAAAACATTTAAAAATTTACGTAAATTATAAAAATGTAAATGTTGTAAACTTGCCAGTAAACATTCAAATATGTAGATAAAAATGATGTAAACTTTGCTGTTAAAATACTGATACTCCACACTAGTTGTCATGGATAGAATAGCTTTACTGTTGTGAAATACATGTACACACTACCGAGATTCCCCTTTTACAACACGGAGAATCCCCATCCTTGTTTTTGCCATCAGTGTTACCAAAGGAATGAGTTTCAAAAATGACTTCAGATATGTCTTTGCATATATGCAGCTGAATATACATTTTTACCAAGTTTTTGAAATCCATTAATTTTTAAACCATGTAAAACCAAAAATGAGTGCCGTGTAAATCGAGGGATAGGTGTACTTCTGTTTGGAATTGGGAAATATTTACTATTCTGCTTTATATTTCTCATTAGTAATTGTTTTGCTTGAGCTGCTATTTCATTTGTCATGAAACTAGTGTCACTTCACAAAGAAAGAGCATTCAACTTACCTGCAGCAGTAGGAAAAGATTAAGCGTTACAATATATTTGGCTGCATGCAGTGCTAAATATTCTCCAACTGTGTATAGTTTTGAAGTTTGGGCAAATCTCAAACTGAGGATGCTTCGAGCTGCTCATTTGTTGATTGTGGTATAGGAATGAAATGAGCGTATGTTTACTTTCATTCCAGTTATTTTTCGTTGAAAATGTTACAAAGTTTGTTAATATTGAAGCTGCTTATTTCAATACTAACCTGAGAGACATGACTAGCATATAACCAGTGTGACTGTCACAGAGGTGCCAATTTTAGGGAGGTGTTGAAAACAGATTCCATTCCATATGTGTGTGTATGAATAATAAAGATTAAAACAAAATGTTAAAAGCAGCATCATTTTATATTCATTTAAATCTTTTGTGTAAAAATTGTATCACCAAAAGTGATATAATACACCATAGTTTGAGAAAGCCTGCTTTAAATGATTATTACCTCAGAGTAATTTTTAAAGACTAATGTTGCTTTCTTTTCATTTAAATACATTTTCAAGTTACATGCTATATTTATTTTTTAATACTCGACACTTTAATTAGAGATAAATAGTCTGTTAAAATGTGTAAAGAATATTTTGGTTAATATTATAAGAATTTCATGTGCTTCATCTTCATAGTTCATGAAGAAAAAGTACAAAAAATTGATTAATCATGGTTTCCCGCTAACCTTAAACAAAATATTTTTGTTTACATAAATGCAGTAACATTACATTCAGATTTACTGCATTTAGAAAGTCTGATATAAGAGTAACTTTCTTGTCATGCATATTATTCTGCTTCCATATATTTCTTTTCTTACCCAGAAACTGGCAGATGTATTTCATTTTGTAATATAGGTATTTTATGTTTACCATTATTTTTAGGGGTTTGATTCCATGATAGAAGCAACAAAATGTGGTCTGCCGATTGATGCATCAACTGTAAGTTGGTTTAATTGTATTCAATCACATTATTAAAAAAATTACTTTAAATGATTTCGCATCTTACTGTAGAATTATTTTACATATTTGTACAATTTTTCTTCAATTTAAAAAAATCTTTTTTTGATTTTTGTCATAAATCTGGGTAGAAGCTTTTGTTATTTTAACTGATTTCAGAAATGTTGCAGTTATCTTTTGCAGATGATGTAATTTATTTTCATAATGCAGTTGATTCTCATTAACATAGAAAACAAATAACAGCTAGTTTTCTTATTTTACACTAAGAGAATGATACATACTTTAGCAATTCAAGCTCCGGACTATTCAGTATTTATTGTCAACTTGTACAGTAATATAATATACATATATGTAATGGGAACTGATTCTAGTAAAATAATGCATTGTGACAAATACTTAAGTATTTTGCAACATACAAGCACAAAGAAAAATCATTTTCACAGAATACAAATGTTCAACTTTTCTTGAGAGAATGATTCTTTAGTTTTTCAAAGTATTCCAAATTCTGAGTAGCAGCATTATCTTTTGACTAATAATATCTACAAAAAGTTATCTTTCAGACTTACATAACTCCTCTTTATTACCCTTGGATGGGAGATAAAGACAAAACAAAAGAATTCATGATATAACTTTTGAGAAAGAGGTCAATAGGCTGGCTGCCCCTGAGGGATATTACCCAGCAAATCCAGGGCGCCAACCCATGCTACTTGAGACAGCTGCTCTAGGATGCACCAGACCTACAGGCCGGCCAATAAGTGACCTTTCTAGGGCCTCCAGAACTACTAGGTTCTTAATTTGGATACCCCTATGGCTGAGACTGCTACATCCTTAGCCAGTAGCTTCGCAGAGTTCTGTACGTCGACCTCGGCTGGGGGGGGGTCTCTGAAAAAGGAAATTTTGTAACCAAGTCTTTTATCTGAATTATCTATACATTAAAATGTCTTTGAAAGTTCCTATGCCTCAGACAGCATAGGGAATTTTTCTTAAAGTCCATCTTAGGTGAATGTTGCAATAATAAGAATCTACTATATTTTTGTTAAGATTTAATTAATTTTTTAAGAGAAGCACAGTATATTTAACTCAGATTTATTATTTAATGAAAACTAATTATTTGAAGGTATAACAAAACAAAAAGCTTTAAAAGATGCACTGATATTTATTGGATTTTTTTTGGGGGGGAGGGGGATAAGATTTTCAAATAATTACATTTCTCACTGAACCAAAGTTTGATAGAAAGTAGAGAAGTTTTTATATTTAAAGAGAAAAAGAATTTTATTCCATCTATTTGATGTCTGCCAGTTTTTAAAATGCAGTTGACGCTTCATGCATATAATGCAAATATATGTATGTTTTGAATTTAAAAGTTTAGCATTAAGAATAAAACATGTTTGCTCAGTGTCAAATAAACATTGCTAAGTGTCAAACATATTGTCTTCTATTGTTTTGTTCTCATACATTGTCTTTAGAAAATCATCATATTTGATGAATATGCCCAATATGTAAAACTTTTGTAATTTTTCGGAGGAAAAAAAACAGTTTTGGTTCTTTAGATTATTTTGACTTCATGAATTTTAAGCAAAGCTTATAGAAAGCAATAGTGAAAAATGTTAACGTACTTTTACACAGTCTTATTTTCCCATCAGGAAAACTAGAAGAATGGACATTTGGGACCTCCAAACAAACACATTGTGCCTCTTAACCCCTTAATGCATTTGACATGGGAGAAAGGTTACCGGCAAATTTGCACATGCCCATGCCACACAAACGATCTTGTATCTCGCATTCTTTTTTTCTAATGCCCACTTCAGATCTGTGGCAGTAATAATAGATAGGCTAGATTACACTTAAACTTATTTACCATAGCTGGGAGCACTATGCAGCATTTTTCTTGTGTAAACCACTTGGTGGATTTTGATGATTAGCTATAAGTTTTTTCGGAATTCTTTGTTATAAAGCAGTTGTTTGGTGTGGAAAAAGGCAATATACCCATTTTTATTCTGTTAATTATTATAAAAGTAAACAGTTAACCATAAATTAATTTTCACTAAGTGTTTTTGTAACTTGTTTAGAAAATGTTATCTGATAATGAGCATCTCTGACGGGTTTGAATATGCCAATTTATCAGTTTCAGCGATGAAAGTGATGAACATAAGTAAATAATATATTCAAAATAAACATGTAATCAAATCGTTTACACACTTTGTATAATAATTTTAATTTTTGTTTCTATGATAATTAAAAATTTTTAATAATAATTTTTTTATATTTTTTACCCCATCGCCGCTCCCTAGTCACCTCCCCCACAACTGAAATTGCAAACAATAACTTACACTATACCTATATATTCATTTTCTGACATAAAAAACTCCATCATTTTTTACCAGTTTTTCCGGGGGGAAAAAAACCCTGTGCTTATTAAGGGGTTAATGAACATATGCTTGTAGTCCATTTGTTGTTGGTGGACGAAATAGTATCCAGCAGTTAAGTCCATATTGTGAAAACAAGAAAGAGCAAGAAAACTCTTTAAAACCATATTTTTGAAGTAAAACTAAAGTCTTTAGATATTTTTTTAGATCAGAATAAATCAGCAATGCTCTTCCCGGGACTCCAGACTTTCCAGTTGCTAGCTAGACATGCTTCCAATTACACTACAAAGGCATGCAGTGGGGAAGGAGAAAATTGAAAGGGCATCTGGGGAAGGGGGAGACTGAGTTGCAAAATCTGGGAAGTGATGAATTATCATATACCACATTTTAGTGTGGTGCCATTTTTAGTCTTTATGAAGCCAGAAAATATGAAAAATCAGCAAATTCGAACCTCCTGATTGCTAGCTGAATGTGTTTCTTGTTGTACCATGAAATCGTGTGATGAGAAAGGAAAAAATACGTTAGGAAATTCATATTAGATTCAATCTTCAAATACAGTAGATGTGTGTTTACAACGACCATTCATCATAGTGACCATTCTATTACATAGACTAGTGCAAAATGTCCTCAAAAGACAAGAATACATTAAAGTTGTTGTCACTGTACTGACTACTAGTAGTCACATCCTTTTTTTTAATCCTTAATCTTAGGTCAATTATATTATGATATGCAAGTTAATGACATGAAGTACATAAAATTTTTATATTAATTGCTTTTATATCAGAGGTTTTCTTTCAAATTATGAATGTAGTCATTTTTCGCACTATCTTTTCTCTTCATTTTGAACTTTTTCAAATCATTTGCTCAAAATGAATTTCGTGTTAATTCTTTCTATTTCCTATGCTGAACATAAAAAAAAACTGTCCACAGAAAGTTAAAATACAAAACAGTTTATTATACAGTCCAGCAAACACAAAGAGAGTATACATATTCTATTCATGTTGCTTGCATTATAGAGACATGGTATGAAAAAGGAGCGAACCCCATGGCAAATAATGTAAAGTAACTTGATTCATTACTGATGAAACTGAAGAGTGTGTTCATGTAAAAAATTAGAGTTGTATTGAGCAGTATTCTGAATATTCAGCAGGCTGTAGTAGATACCACTGAATGTTCATCAGGCTGTAGTAGATACCACTGAATATTCATCAGGCTGTAGTATATTTTTTCAATTCTTGGAATACTTGATCAACAGATTGTGAATTGTTTTCGTATGTCTGAAAGTGTCTTCATTCCCTTTCCAGTTCAATTAGGAAATCAGATCTGTTTAATAGTCATAACATTTGACACATATAGACAAGAATTTATACTTTCTTTCATGTTGAGATATGTTGATATTTTCTAAAATTTTATATAAAGAACAAAAATTAATTTATTGGAAAGAATTCACCTTAGTCAGAAAATCTAAATCCAAAACATTCTCAGCTGGTGCCATATCCAAGAAACTCAATCATATAAGTAAACAGCATCATTGCTGCCTATTAAATTATTCTTTCAAGTTATCAAATACATCAAAATATATATACAGAGCAAAGTCCGAAATCCAGACTCGTTAGGACTTCGGCGATTCTGGATTTGGGATTTTTCCTGATATTAGATCATCAGTTTAAATCTACTAAGATGGCATGTAGAAATTATAAAATTAAAAATATGAAATTGCGATTTATGAAATAATGAAGTATATATGATCTAAAGGGTATCAAAATTTACAAAAAAAGCTTAATATTTATTTGTTTACCTTATTAAACATTTCTTTCAATGTATGTTTGTTTAAGTTGCTACTTTTTTTGTGCTAATACTTTCTCTTTAATTCTGTTGACTGACATAATCTCTTGTTGAGTTAAATTGTTGAAGTCCTGTAACTGCTGTTTCGAGAATTCCGACTAACTTGTCAATTGAAATTTTCTCGTTTTCAGCAACTGTCTGTCACTTTCTTCACTATCGGTAGCGGTATTTTCCTGATTTAGAACCATACTACAGATTTTGTTATTGATTAATTGACTGATGATTGAGAAACATTATCATCACATTAAAAAACTTCTTTTAAATCATCTTCATTTATTGCCACTTCTCCAAATTTCTTTACAAAATCCATTAATTGGAAAATTTCACCTTTGTTTTGCGATATCCGAAAACCTTTAAAATTAGTGGCTATCATTATCAAATATAGCTATCCTTTCCTATACATCAAGAGTTTGACGACTAACGACAATTTCCGTTAAATTGTATCTTGCTTCTATCGTGTACTGAGACAATTAAGCCTGAATTGTATTAGTTTAGTTATTTAGTATACTTATGTCTATTTCTTGCACATGCTTAAGGCTTATCAGAGTTTTGAATAAATTCTCTTATATACTTAAGCCTTATTGAGGGCCAGTGCTAGATATCTTACCGCCTGATGCAGTCTCTGTGGGTTCTGAACTCTGCATGTCGGTGCCTCCATACGAGCCCTGGTGCTGATTCTGGGTTTATGTGAATAACAAATCAGTTATTCTTAATTCAAATAGCCCTAAATGTAATCTTTAGGTTTATGAGTATCATCAAAAAATCTATTTT